TAGTTGTGTGTCTGTAGTTGTGTGTCTGTAATGAAGCAGGGTTCCACCTTCATGAATGTTTTCAGACCTCCAGCCTCTGAAGCAGCCAGAGGAGGGGACAGGTGCATTCTGGGTAAACGTTCCAGGTTCATATCAGCGTGTGTGATGGTGGTGGGTCAGAACCAGTTCTAGACCATGGAAGGACCATTTACCTCCAGAACCCACCAGGACCATCTACAGACAGGATTTATGGCTCTCTAATACGGTCCTACTGAACCTGTGATACATCCCATAATAAGCAGGCTCCAGGTGTTCAGACGGTTCCTCCTGGATGTGCAGGTGGACCCAACTGGGTTTGTTTGTGCGTCTGTCGGACCTCTAAAGGTGACCGAATGTCCTCATAAAGACAGAAAGATCCAGAGAGATCAGAGATAATCTGAGAGGAGACGCTGATGTTTAATCCCAGCAGTGTGTGTGTGTGTGTGTGTGTGTGTGTGTGTGTGTGTGTGTGTGTGTGTGTGTGTGTGTGTGTGTGTGTGTGTGTGTGTGTCACATGCCATCACACACACCAGGGATTAAACACAGACGGACCTGGGCTCTGTCTGACCTGATTCTGATGTGTTCTGTTTTGAGGCTTTCAGCTGATTGTGTTCTGGTGGCGCTGATGAAGCCGTGTTGCTCGGAGGCCCGTCGGCAGGCCCGTGTGGGTTTGTGTCGACCCGCTGACCCGCGCCGCTGCTGCTGTGGGTCTGAACAGCTGCTGGTTCTCAGAGATCCAAACAGGCTGAACTTAGACGCGTTCACGTGTTAGAAGGCACACGTGTGGGCGGCGCCCAGCACATCTGTGTGGTTCTCACACGTCTGACTGTTTGGTTCAATGACAGGAAAAACACTCGTTTACATGTTAATTAGAAAAAAGTACCAAAACTTTAAAAATGTCCAAATGAGAACAATCATGTGTTGGAGCCCATCTGAGCATGAAATCAGAACATCTGACTGCGTGTACTTCACATGACGGAGTTTGCTGTCCGTCCGTGTGCTCATGTTTCCTCTGACACCCCTGCTGGAGTGAGGAGAAGAAGAACCGGGGTCGGACCTGCAGCACCGGGCCGTGAGCGGGACTCGAACCCACGACCGCTGCCTCGGGGCCTGGACATG